TCATAAACAAAACATCTATTCTTTGTTCGGTGGTAGGACCAACGGAAGTCAAACTTCGTGATGAGCAGTTGGATAAGGCAACAATCGAGGTCGTGGCACGGCCTCTTGTGGGCATGCCTGGAGTGAAGGACAAAGCCAGAGAAATGAGTATTCGGGAGACTCTGGAGCCTCTTATCCTCTCTGGATTGCACCCCAGATCTCTTATTCAAATCGTTGTTCAGACCATGAAGGATGATGGATGTGTAAGTGGACAAACAGATCATTAAAAAAAAAAAAAAAAAAAAAATGGTTTTGAGACTCACAATCCGATTCACCTTCTTTTAGATCTTATCGACGGCGTTTAATGCAACCATTTTGGCTCTCCTAGATGCCGGTATACCCTTAAAATCCATTCTTGGATCCGTTACCTGTATGGTCGATGCTACATCCAACGAAATATTACTCGATCCCACTTCAGAAGAGCTGGCCAACGCGAAATCAACACATGTTTTCGTCTTTGACAACAAATCATCAATAGTCGGTGAAGGCGATTCAGACATGGAACAAAAAGAATCGCTTGCCAACGTCTTGTTCTCAGATAGCACTGGTCAATTTTCTGAAGAAGAGTATTTTGAGTGCTCACGTATCTGCTTCAAGGCTGCCCAGGCGGTTCATGGATTCATCCGAACGGCTGTTGAAAAGAAGCTTCAGAAGGAGTACCAACAAATCCAAGCATAAACTTATCTCTTTCATTTCAAGGACACACGAACAACAATATCAACAATATCAACAACGGCCACATCAGCAACAAAAAAAAAAGAAACGCATAAAAAGGCAGCGTTGTAAGTATTCTCATTATCGCGACTTGCACATGTTTATGGTGACAGGAATAAAAGCGAGTATCTCTTATCGAAAATCAAGCGAGGTCATGCCAAAGGAACAAGAGACACCCCAAATTTGTCCAAGATTAAATGCAAAGGCGGTTCGATTGCTTATCCACAACTGAGTGGTTCATGACATCATTTCAGGGACGTGAGCGCGCTCAATCGATAGAATGTGGACCCGGTTACTTGCCGTATCTGAGCCCGAAATCTAGCTCACATATTGAAGTCGCTTCAGTTTGACAAACAGATATGAGATTCATGGCAACTAAGCTCAACGATTTTACCAACCAACCTTGAAGTAAATCTTGAAGCGCTCAAGAAAATACCGGCGCTTTAAGATGAACGTGATTATGAATGTCAGTGCGCTGTTATTTCCAACCAGCAATGAAAGTTCTTGTGCCTATCATACCTTCAGTTTCGCTCTCTCTACCATTGATAGTCGACTAAAATCCTTTGGCTAAGATTGGTTTACCAAACACCAACATGAGTACAACATTGACATCTTTTTGCGCGCGTTTGTGGCAGTTGATACTTACCGCAATTCTGAAGAGCTCCGAGACTACACTAGACGGCATATTGGGATGGGTCATCTCTGCTGTGTGGTCCATGAAGGACATATACTTTGACAAATTATATTGCCAGTGATCCTCGTTTGTTGGATAGATCTGGCAACGAGAGCAGGCCCCGATCTTGAAGGAAGTAATTGACTCCTTACAAGATGGACTTGTTTACCACAATAAAAAAGGGATCTCTCATTAATCCATTGTTTCCTAACTCTTATTTGCATGCAACAGAAGTATGATAACGTACCATTTAGAGGATAGTAGGTCTGAACCACGGTTGTCAATGTCGAGCTGACATATAACAACGAAGCAGAATCCAAAGACAGATTCTTTTGTATAAATTAGAGAGCATGTGAGAAAACGCTTACTTATGATCCTACATGTTGAAACATTTTGTCAAACTGAGAACTTACCGAGGAAACCGAGGTCCTCGATACACTTTGAAATGTCAATCAACTCATAACGGCTTTGGATCTGGCCCAATTGAACCTCGCTATGGTCAATAACTAGAGGACCTTAACAGGATTAATACTTATTGATCACTCTCAAAGTGACGTCTGCGCTGTGGTGTTATTATAATGCGGCCCACGGTTTACCTTGGTTCAATTGGCCCGTTACTAACGAGTTTTTTTCAGTATAGTGTCTTAACCACTGACAATAGTGATTTGGCGTGCAAGGTTAGTTTATGCCTGAGTACCCTAGTGTGAGGAATCCTTACATGGCCAAATTTCACTCACCTCGACATTCTTGCAAACTGGGTTGATCTGAATGTGTGTTTGGTATGATATAGTGATCTGAAGTCGCTTCCCGTATATAGACAGTTGCGGACCAGAAAGTAGTAAAACTAAAGCAGAATAACGCCTTAGTGTTAGGAACATGTGCTCAAACAAAAATCTTGATATGTTTGCTCTACAGTGAAAGGATCAGCGGACATACAGGTAGTCATAGGTGTCCAGTTCTCCACAATAGAGCACATTTCTTCGCCCCAGATGGTTACATTCGCTTCCTGGCCTTGAGCATCAAATACCCCCAAAGTTCTCTTGGCTGTCGGTCCGAGCTTGGTGTTAACGATTGATGTTGGGAGAACCTATGAACGCATGACGTGGGATGAGCACCAGTGAATATGAAAACGCGAAGCATGCAGCATCGACCTGTGTCCTGTTGGCAATTTCTGCTAGACCTTACCTTTCTCACGCAGACAACGAGGTTTATTCGTTGATTTCCCAAAGTTTGCACACTGCTGACAATTTGTCTTATAGACAATGCGCTAACAACCCCTCCCGGGCTAGCGCCAACAGCTGTCCGAAACATTGTGGTTTGCTCATGTGCGCTGCCAAGCTCAACCTTGTGGCCGACCTTACCTTCACAGAGATTAAGAGAAAGCGGAGAAGTTGAAGCCGCAGATGGATTGGCATTTGAATTGATGGCCATCGCTTTGTTCTTTGGTTTGACAGTATCAGTCCAGACGTGGACCACCTGGTCGAGCTAAATTTGTACTGCAGTTTAGTGGTATGGCTTCCTTATAGCTTTTCTTGTTGATTTTCAGTCTATACTATTACCGTCATCCCAGAGTACATCTCAAGGTGCTCTTGAGTCTTGTGCCAAAATGAAACATCGATAGTAGTCTGGTCGTCCTTGATGGAAAAGGACTGTAGCCACTGCATTCTATTGGGATCATTCCTATCTGGCATCGACTTCACACTTGAAAGTCTGACAGTCCTGCCTGTTTGGGCCGTTGATAGCCAGTAAACGAGTTAATCTCTAAGTTCCAGTTCAAGCAATAGTTACCTGGATGGAAGCGTCTTACCAGAGACTCGCTATGAGAGGAGTATATAGCAAAAATAAGCCTATGTAATCCGATATACTATTACCAAAATGATTATCAATTTTAAAAGAACATGTCATACCACGAAAGCCTTTCCTGCTTGGAGGCTCTGTATGGGTACTATCGCAGCATCAGGACTAAATCCAAGTTGACTATGTGCAAAAGTCTGAAGTGCTTGTAAAGAAAAAGATGGGACAGCATTTGGCTCTGGCAGGGCCTCATAGTCCGAAGAACTAAGAGCGATGTTGGGCGGTTGTGAACGACTGGAATGATAGGGTTGGTATGGGGAATAGCTTTGTTGCCGCTGCTGCAGCGCTTGTGGGGTCGTATGGCCTGGTTGGTGCATTGGGTGTTTGTTGCTGTGCGGTGCAGGAAATGGTTGCAGGAGTAAGGAAGAAACTGTTCGTCAAATCCCTTCTAGGCTTTTTCAACTGCGCGTGAGTGGCTTAGAATTGCCAACATCGCAGGTTTCATTTTCATAGGGTACACCAAAGGAGGAAGTTTCTTTTTGTTGCAGACTTTCAGAGTGCGTGAACCATCCATCCATCCATTGATCGATCCATCCATCCATTGATCGATCCATCCATCCATTGATCGATCCATCCATCCATCTACTCTTCCATTCGACCAACCAACCAACCAACCATCCATCCATCCATCCATCCATCCATCCATCCATCCATCCATTCAT